TTTTAAAATATTTAAATTAAATTCTTCATATTGATATAAATCCCGACGAATTCCTATTAATTCTAACGTATAAATCAAGCTAACATCCCCGCTTGGCAACATAAATAAAGTCAAAAAAATTACAAAGCGGAGTTCTAAACACGACATAATTTGAGTTATTATTATTTTTTTTAATAAATAGATAAGCCCTGGTTCGAACTAGCTGCTGTACTTTGTTTTAAAGAAATCAATAAATTACTAAATATGTTAAACAAAGTCAGGACACTATTTCAGGAGGAAAATAGTTTGGGATTCATAAATATTATTAAATATCTTAATCCTCAAAATGTCTCTTAATTAATCGATTATGTCTAACACTATTCTTGAAGATTATAATTTTCCATATTTAAATCAAGAAAGAGTTCAGGCAATAATAAATGAAATAATTTCTATACATAACGTTTTTTTCAAACGGTTCTTGGGTAATGTTACGAGGAATCCTTTATTTGTAAACAAAGGATAATAATTTTAGGAATTTCGATTAAGTTCATGTTATCAAAATTTACGTTAAATAGAGTTTAAAACTACTGAACTCGAATTAAACCCTAATTTGGCAATCTATCCATTAATGTTTAAATACAATAATGAATTTTATTTTTAATTCTTTTGTATATATACATTTATATAATTATCCAATTTAACTTCTAATAATATGCAATTTGATTAACATCGATAATATAATATTACATGTCGGAAAGTTATTATAATAATATAATATACAAATAACGTCATTTTAAAATATATAAGGTAACCTTTATATACGATATTCAAATATAACCATATTTATTTCACCCCCGCTCCCAAGTCGATCAATTCAGCAGGTAAGGAGTTTTGAATTATATTATAATTTAATAGAAAAATGTAACGATATAAGAATTCGAAGTTATTGCTTTATATTAATTCTATTTAAAAAAAAATTTTTTAAAAAAAATTTACACCCCGAAAAACATGAAAAATTAATTTTAGTTATCTTAATTCTAAATTTCAATTTCCACAGCTAACATAATTAGTGGTATATATATTTTTGACTTTAAATAAAATAATTTAGCCGCGAAACGTAACAAAACTTTTTACTGCTTGCTTACATAAGAAAATAAAAATATCTGTAGATTTTATTTTAAATTTCGCAAAAAAAAAAAATATATTAAATATCGATATTTTTATTTAAATTTTGTATATTAAAAAAAAATTAACAAGAACTTTTAAATGTCAAAGGCTAAATATTTTTAACCGTTAACCAATTATAAGAATGGTTGTAAATTTTATATCATGCTAATCCTAATATATATATAATAACAATATTAGAATGGTGAAATATAATGTAAGAAAATATAAAGCGATCCGATAAAATATGTATTATCTAGTTTTATCTTGATTAATTTAATTATTTTGGGGAAGAATTGTAATTTTGAACTTGAACTAATTTTTATTACACTTTATTTTCAATAACGTTTATTTAATTTATTTAAATTCGAAAAATAATATTTTACTTGAAATCATCATTGTTTTTGTTAAAGGCTCGGCTAACTTTACTACTACGATTCAGATACTTTTGATTTGAATAATTTGTTTAACTTGATTTCACTTTGCAAAAATTGTATGAAAAAAACGATTCAAATTAAAATAGTTCGAATATTTCACTTGTCGGAAATTCGTAAAGCACCAATATAAAAAAAAACAATTCAAATACATTTCTTAAATATAAAATAGAAACTCACTTTTAAAAATTTATATTAAATTCAATTTATTACCCTGTATATTCTGTTTGCGCGAATTCGCGAAGAAATACCCATAAATACACAAAAAAATACAGCATATTTTGTGTATTTAGCCATAAATTCATGTTGATCATGAATGATTAATTTTGTATTAAAGGCAAAGGAGCTTTAATAAAATTGCGAATTATTTACAAGAAAGACCAGAGTAAATTTTAGAAAAATCAAAATATCCTCTCCAGCTTTTTTTCAAAACCAATTGGGTTATTTTTTTAAAATATTTATATATATACTAATGTATAATATATATATATATAACGAATATATTACCTTCAATTTTTTTTTGTAGTTGAATAACTCTATCCCTTGTCGGCTCTATTAGAATTTATCACGTAAAATTGAATTAGAATACATTTTTAATAGAGGTATCTTTTTTGTATTTATATCTTGCCCAAAATAAAACTACTAAAAATAATTTTGATTCATTTTTTTTTATTCACCCATGAACTGAAGAATTTATATCTTTTTAATTCCAATATATTGTCAACTTTCTTACTTAATATATGGCTAAAACTAATAATAAATGCGAATTTTACTTGTCACTTACTTCTACTCACTAATAACTAAAGTAATATAGGGGCTTTTAAATTTAAAGGTATTGATTCACACCACCATTATCTATATCCATGTACTGATGTATCCTTAGAATCCCTAGTATCAGGAAACGAACCATTAGAAATGGGGGCTTATTTATAATTTTAATTTTAAAAAATTTAAAACGCGATATAATATAATTAAAAATGTTAGTTATATTATAAATAATAGAATTTCTATATATTATATAATATTACTTTTCAGCAAATCTCTATCACCCTTTTCTTGACCAGAGTTAAACTCGAATAAATTGCTTAATTCATTAGTATCAAAATTTTAAAAAAAAATCATTAACAAAAAAATACAAAATTAAATAATGATGCTTATTTTTAAAATTTGTAAGCCTATATCGATTGTTACATCATTTTTCATTGATTTTATTATCGTATGAATTTTTTATTGACTTTATTGTGTTACGAAGATTTGAAATACTTAATTTCTGTCAAAATTATTTGAAAACGTCTCGAACTTTAGTGGCCCGCTTCTCATGAAAATGAATGTTGATAAAAACAGGGAAAATATTTTATAATATTTAAACAAAAAGAATACAAAAAGTGTTGTATAATGTACTATTTATGTATATATATCTACTCATTAAAAATAATAAATATTATAACTGATTTATGGCCCAACAACAATTTAGTTCAGCCATTTAATTAATTTAGTTGATATTATATAAGAAAGTATACAAAAAGAATCTCTGATTGGAAAATGAGAATATCTTGGCTGAGGGGGTATAAGATTTGCGATTAGAATTAATCAATTTTCTCAAAAATTTAGAAGATAAAGATTTTAAGAAGTAAGGTAGAAAAGTTAATAAAAGATAGTAAAAAAACGGGAATGAGAAAAGGTTACATCATCATGCGGGGAACTGATGCATTTTAACGTAAATATTCAAAAAAAAAATTTGTCATAAATTAAATATAAAAAATTGGACACTCTGTATTCAATAAAGAAAAGGAAATTAATTTTGACACTATAATAAATAGAAACATAAAGAATGTAAGTTTTCATATATATATATCATATCAATGTTTCAATTTTAAAGGGATTTGTATCAGATAATAATAAGAACCTAAAGGATGTAAGTATATAAACTCTTTTTCATATATATCATATCAATAGGGATTTGTATCCGATAATATTAGAAACTTAAGGATGTAAGTTTCATATATATAATATCATATCAATATTTCAATTTTAAATTAATAGGGCTTTGTATTCGATAATAATTAGAACCTAGAGGATATAAGTTTTCATATATATATCATATCAATATTTTAATTTTAACATCAATAGGGATTGAATCCGATAATAATTAGAAACATAAAGAATGTAAGTTTTCATATGTATATATATGTTTCAATTTTAAAGGGATTTGTATCAGATAATAATAAGAACCTAAAGGATGTAAGTATATACACTCTTTTTCATATATAACATATCAGTGGTTTAATTTTAACATTAATTAGGATTTATATCAGGTACGCTGCTACATCTTAACCATTAAATAATCCATCATATAATAACTTCATCAATCCTCTCTTCTTCTATTATTTTTAACCTATAGTATCTATTTTAAATTGTTTATTTTTTTCTATAGCATATAAATTTGAGATCTGCAATGGACGGATATAATAAAAAAATATATATGTTAGCCTTAGCGTCAATGTGTTTATTCCAGCAATATGTTACTTTTTTTAAAACTTTAAATCTATTTTTGAGCGCGTTTTTAAAATTTAAATATCTAATTTTATACGAAATGTTTGCCTCCTGTTTAGTACCTACCCTTTGAATTTCAGACCATGAACTTTTAAACTTAATTTTATATTAAATTTTCTATATATTTTAATATAAATTACAAGTTAACAGAAACATTGTCTTACAATTTATAAGATAAGTATTCCAAACATTATATCAATTTTTAAGTTTAAAAAAAACGCGCTCAAAAAATGAATTAAAATTTTGAAAATCAGGGATCCGGAGAGACCCGTAACTAACCGTTAAACCATTATAAACCGTTATAAATATCTGAACCATAACCGTAACCGAACCGATATAATTATTTTTTGAACGAGTAAAAAGAATCTTTATAAAAAACGGTTAAACCGGTTTATATTTTAGAAAGGAAAATAATTTGAATATCCAGAATTATATAAACTTGCTCTTATAATACTGGCGGTTCCTGCAACACACGTTTCTCTAGAAAGGGCTTTTTCGGGGATAAAATATTTGTTATCGCCACAAGAACAAAAAGGAATCCATTTATATTAGAAAATGTATAACTTATACGTTCAAATAATATATTTAAAAATGAGTTATTTTGAATCTTATATATTTTGTTGCTTATAATAAAAATAAATTAGAAGATGGTGTTGCTCCAATAAAAATTTTTTTTATAAACCTTTATAATTAGCTTAACCGAACCTTTATAAATTATTTCTTAAGAACCGTAACCAAAGTGTAACCATTATAATTTTTTACATACTGAGTTATAAATAACGGTTCGGGTCTATAGTGAAAATAATACCTTGTCGGAAAAAAACACATTTAGGCTGATATACTACAAAATCTAAATTTAATTAAATGATTAGTTTTTCTTTTAAAAAAGGGTTAAAAAATTTTTCAATAGATAAAATAACTCATTTATAATCCTTCGCAAGAAAATCTTTAGTAAAAGGCGTAGATTTATTAGTTCTGCGAAGAATCTGAGACTTAATTTTATATTAAATATGCTTAGTTTGGACAGATGTCTTGCCTGACATAATATTTGCCTATAACACGTATCATCATGAATCATCGATTATACCCTATGAGCTGTTGTATAGTGGAAAAGTAAAACAAGCCTATGGGGTATAATATTTTTAAATTATATACTATATATATGTGTCTCTATTTAAGGTGAAGTGGAAGAGGATATAGATCCTGTCAATGTATCTAAAGCAGATTTGGAATCTTGTTTTAAAGATACGTTTCTTGTTCAGCTTAAACAGCAGAAAAATTATATAAGTCGTTATGTTGGTAGGGATAACCATTATTTAGTTAATGATCAATCTGATACAGCTATCGGGCTGCTAGAAAAGGTGGTAAAATGACCAGGCCTTGAGTGGGTTTTTATCCAATAGTTATAATTCTTAAAAGTAAAATTCATCATTATTATTAAATTATTTTTAATATTTAGGTAATATTATGTGATATAAAACATTACCTTGCAAGAAAAGGCGTATAATTGTCTTAATTACTTAGTAATATACATATTTTTTAGATGATAAAAATTCTGAGGAAGTGAGTTATATTAAATGCCCATGAAAATCACTTGGAAGCTAATATTTTTTAAACTCACATTAAATTTTTATATTTATTCTCAAAATTACACAATACGATATATGGATAAGAGGGTGAGAATTGTGAAGACCAAGAATATAAAATATTTAATATTATGCGTATTTTTTAGATGATACAGATCTTAAGAGGGTTAAGATATTTAATGACCAAACGAAGATGGTAGTGGTAGCCTTCGAGGAAATAGTAATATTTTTATAAATTGTCATTCATTTGTTTTTCAAATTACTAGTTTTGCCTCCTAATCCTAATGCACCAGCTGTAATTGATAAAATAGGCCAGTTCATTGAGAATGGTATAAATTTGTAATATATAATTATGCATATTTTTTAGATAATGAATTGACAGTATAGACAGTATTTTCCAAGAAAGATAATAAAAATCTTTTTCTTCTCACCAAAAGAAATTCGAAAATTTATCTCCTGAACGCTTTCCTTGTGCTCAAGAAAAGATATCCAAAATATGATAATGGTGTGATGGGAGTATATTTTTCTACCGAGCGGATTATTGGTGATGGAAATTGTCTCTTTAGTTCTATATATATATATATATACAATAAATTAAATTGTTAATCATTATTATAGATGTATAAGCAAAGTTTTGATGACGGATGCCAAATGATTTTCTGAGACAGCAATGCATTCTTTTCATGAGGAGCAAATATATGCTTGAGCAGATAAGGAGAATTTGGGAGAACCCGTTGGCTTATTTGGGAAGAACTAGGCGTGGCCCAAAATGCAATTTATTAAACAGAGGTGGAGTTAGTTGCAATGGCAACTATGCTTAAGATAAATATAGTTATCCACACTATTTATAAATGGGGATATTATATGCCAATTAAAGAATTAAGTAACATCAATTTGAATATATATTTAAGAAATTATCGAAAGCATTTTGACCTCATAATAAATTTTAATTAATCTTATTTTAATCGCAAATTAATCTTATTTATATCGCATATCTTATTTATATCGCATCTTATTAATTTGTTTTTCTAATCATTATATATACAAATAAATTTCATATACAAATTAAGTATTATATATAAGATGCACATTATTTTTTATAAATATAAAATGGAACATATTGTTCATCCTTTTTCATTTTTTGTAAAATATAATTTATAAAATAAAATGTTTAAAAAATGTTTATGACTTATATATTATTTTTAACCTTAAGTTCAACATGAAATAGCGCAAGTAGTTATCTTACCTACATTTTAAAACTGTTTTATCTCTCATTTCTATATTAAGGTTTCACATCTTTGCAGTGGCGTCGCTAGGTGGGGGGGGGGGGCGCAAGGGCTCAAGCCCCCTGAAAAATTTGAATAGTCCCCTGAAGAAAAATTTTTTTTTTAATGACTTCTTAATACCCCCTTGAACTAAAAATAAATTTTTTTAATTGCTCCCTGAACAATTTATTTATAATTCTATTGAGTAATGTATAGATTTTATTATTTAAAATTTAATAAGACATACATATAAATTATATTTTTACTATGTCAGCTTGCGATCAAATTCTGTGTTAAAAATATATCAATATCACTCACTAAATATTAATTTAGCATTAACAGTTGAATCTTATTTGACTTTTATTATTTAAATTATTATATAACCCTAATTAAATTAATATAATCATTTATTAATTGAAAATTAACAAATTTAATTGTAACATCACTAATCAACTATATTATTGATTTTTAAATTCAATTATCATTTTTTCTAAAATTATTTTCAAGGTTCAAATCCTAATAAGTATAAGAGATTTATTTATAAAAAGTAAGTAGACATATAGTTTATAATCCTTTATAATATATAATTATTTATAAAATATTAGGTAAAATTCCACTTTTGCAGATGTATTTGACAGTTATATAATATATTACATTTTATTTTTAAAACTTGACTAATAAATGCTTAGGGTAATAAATATAAGTAACAATTTGTAATCAACTATTTAACGCCATCCATTTATTTAAAATATTATTATTATTTAACCTCTTATTATTCATCCCACAATGGAGGTAATAAATTAGATATCTTTTCTTCTATTTTTTTTACGTGTTTTTAGAAAAGCTAATTTTTTTTTCTTTGAAAAACAGTTTTTAGTTTTAATACGAATATATTTTTGATATTATTACAAACTACTAAAATTTTAAGATATAATATACCAACTAGAGATGGTGCGACAATATTATTTTAATTTCTGATATCACTCTGGTTCTTATTTTATATTCACAAAATTTTTCATTTCTAATATGGCATCCTTGCCTTGTAAATAACTCAAGGTTTCAATATATTTGCATAATTTCTTCTAAAGATTTATATTGTTTTTGTTTCATCAATTTATCTAACATAATAATTCTGATATGGGTTACCATCATGAGTGTCATGGCTATGACTGTAAATTAACCAGCATCTATTATTTGTGTGGCTATGTAATTTAAGATTATACTACAGCTTCTGAGAGCATATGATTGTATATTTTAGATACGCAATACTGGTCAACTGTGTAGTCGTTTATATATCATTAAAAAATGTAAGATAATCTTTTATAAGTTTAATATCTCACAATAATTTTCTCGATTACTTATCTAGCTTCCATGTCATCTAAGAGAAAACTCTAACCACCATATAGTTTTATAATTTGGATTGGTCGTTTATATTCTCTTCTTCAAGGATTTTTGATTTGGAAGGCTAATAGATTTCTTCTTATTAGTCCATTCTATAAAACTTGTCTACTGTAATAAATAGATTTTGTATTAAAAAATATTATTTTTAGATATGTTTAATTATTTATATGCTAGTTTATTTTCTATGCAAAATATAATAAATGACAAAATATGAAATTCAGCATAATTGTTTAGAGTTAGCAAATTTTAAAAAAGTATTATATATTAATATAAAACCCGACCGAAGGCCAAGTAAATGCGGGGCGACGCAAATTGGAGGGTATAGGGGCAAAGCCCCCCTAAAATTTTTTAGTTGAGCACCCTGAGATTATAAAGGCTAGCGACGCCCCTGCATCTTTAAACTTAACTTAAACTCAATATATAAAACTTTAAGAGTTAATATTAAATACAAAATTAAATAGAATAAAAGAATAGAGCAATGCCTTTGAATATCAATATATCAATAGAAAATATAATATTTAATCTTTACATGTCAGTAATAAATGTCAGTAACATTTAAAATATAATATTTAATCTATGCACGTGAGTCAAAATTATTATCACTAATTTACGCCATCTAGCTTATAAAAGAATGTCATATATATGTGAAATAGTCAAATTAAAAATGATAATACAAAATAGTTATAAAATTCTGAAAGATATCTTTATTTTACTCCTATTAAATCCGTCATTTGATTGGTTAAAAGAAGGATAATTTTTGACAAAAAAAATATATAATAAATGGAATCTACTTTGTAGAAAAAATATTTTAAAATTATTTATACTAATTTTGAAAAATAAAAAAATTGATCTTAACACACTCTTCATTTTAAATGAAAAATCTGATTTAAATGAACTCTCAAATCAGTCATAGGAGAATTTATTTTTAATTTTTATAGCTAATAATGACTATATGCCCCGGGTATAATAAAATAATTTAATGGCCGGGTATTTAAAAAAAACTAAAATAAGAGCAGGCAGGCCCCTGCAGATATCTGATAAAAATCATCAACAAGATTTTATCAAATAAATAGCGTGAAAAAAAGATTACGACACTTGGGATTCCCAGGCGGTCACCCATCCAAGTACTAACCAAGCTCAACGTTGCTTAACTTCGGTGTTCGAAAGGGAACCGGTGCTTTCAACGTGATATGGACGTAATCGAAAATATTGATTTTAAATTCATTATATATGTGAATCATAATTTTTTAAAAAATTACAATTTATTTTAATAAACAAATAATTTCGTAAACAAAAATTATTATCTTAAATAAACAAGATAATTTTTTACATATAATTTCTATATTTATTTATTTTTTTACAGGTATTTTGATTTTATTAAGTAAAATAAATTTACACCATCTAGCACATAAAATTATTCATAATTATGAGAAATATAAAATTAAATATGATAGTACAAAATAGTTAGAAAATTCTGAAGGACATCCTCCTATTAATCCTAAAAATTATTTTTTGAGAGTTATACACTAGTAATAAGATATATCTCCCACCCATTTAAACATAGTTTTTAAAATTTCTAACTCTAAAATAATAAAAATTATTTATTAATATTAAAAATTAACTTTGATATAAACTACTATTTCTGAGTTGTGATTGCTATCATATAAAGTAATCAATAATTTTTATGTAAATTTTTATCTTAGATAAGACTAATATTATAATTAAAATTATTCTATAAGTTC